TCTCTTGTGTGGTAAGAACATTTAAGATCTGTCTCTGCAACTGTCCAGTACACAGTACAGTATTGTTATCTGTAATCGTGGCACTGTGCTTTAGATCCCCAGAACTGATTCATCTTCTAGGGTTTTTTGTTTTTAACTGTAGGAATTCTCTGAGCCTTTAATTTACCAGTGTACCTTGTAATTCTCTAAGATGAGGAAGGAGAAGTGAGATAGCAACAGTCTGCAGCATTTCCCAAGCTTATTTGGCCATGGAGTCAGTTTTTAGAGGGTTTCTCAGGAGCCTGGCATTTGGCCATGGAATAATTTTATAGAGAGTGTCTCAGGAACCTGGTGTACGACAGAATACTAATTGGTGAAAGTAGCTAGGCTGAAATCATTTTACAGATAGAAAACTAAGGCCCAAATACTTGGTTACTGAAGTAGATAGAGCTAGTGAGATTCCAGACTGTCTCTTAGATCACCGTTCTTTCCCACGGCAAAAAAGGAGACTTAATGGCTCAGAAGACAGGATTAAGTATATTAGAATGGAAATAAGATCTTCCTTGTCGTCAAGCTTAACATCTTATCCAGGGTTCTAGCTCTAAATAAAAGAGGCAGTGCGAGTGGTTAGTCCTTTCAGCTACATTGCTAACAAATGGAACAGAGAGTAGCTGTAAAAATAAATTTCAAGAAGTACCTGAAATTGCTCTTTTCTCTCCCATTAAAATTAGGATACACAGGATCTTAGTTCTCCTTAGTTCTCAAACTTTAGTTTTGACCCGCTGTTAAGAACAGATTTAATTTTCATTGTATTGATGACATCATTTTAGATGGGAGTTAGCTGTGTTTTTAGGCTGCTTTTGAAGGTTCCATTTTTCTACAGTGAAATATGAAATAATGACTCTTTTGTGGAATCAATTTCTAAGAATTGTAGATTTATGAGAGACATTCTTAACATAAAACTTAGTTTTTACACCGCCTTAAAACAGTCAATTTAAAATAGTGTAAATTTATGTACCAGAAATTGTGGGGGGATGGGAAGGGAGTCTGAAACGTTATTTACCTTAACACAGTTCAGACGCTTAGCTGAATGAAAGCTTCCAGATTCCTGATAGGGAACTTAGTATTTTACACTGAGGTATGATTTAGATTGATAATTACAAAATTTTAAATAAAGATTTTATTAGAGTATAGCCTAAAATGGTGAGACCTGTCCCCTGACAATTATGTAAGATAGTATGTACTATGTGCTAGGGTGACAGACCAGAAAAATAGGACCAGAAGAGGAATTTTGTTAATACGAGAAAATTTTGGATAATCTTTATGACCACTTATAACACTTGGAATTCCACTTTGAGAAATAGATACACCTCATTGATTTTCCTTGGTTTAGAAAAAAATTTTGTGGCTTATCTTGCAAAAATTGCTGTTCACTGTACCTTTTTTCTTTAAAATGTAGGAATTTAACATTGTTCCTTGTTAAACAGAAAAGCCCTTTCTGGAACATAGTAGTCAAAATTACTTATGTGTTGAATTGTATTACAAAGATAAATAATTAATTATAGTTTTGCTGGGATATTTTGACAAAATTAGTAGTATGTATTCTTCTCTACTTTTCTCTGCCGGCCCCCCTCCCCCCCCCCACTTCGTGCCCCCTACAAGTAACTGGCATGGCTAGTAAGAAGTCTTGAAAACAGAAAGAATTTACTAATCATAACTGACAGGTGGTTTAACTACAATTTTGTGTGCTTAGAAAACTGTTTAGAAAATTTTGGTAAGCATTAAGCGCTTCCTGGAAGGAATGAGAAGGTGTTAAGAGACAGGCTACCAGTGAGGAATAGAGTAATGGCACTAGGAGTGCTAAGTAAGATGCTTAAGACAAGCAAGGTCAGTACGTAGCTATGAAACACAAGCACTGACCTGTGTGTATTCTTTTTCTCTTTTTAGAGGTCCAAAAGATTTTGAAAATGGTACTGATGCCCTTTATGCCTGGATTCTAAATATAGAACATATAATCCTTGTGTTTTTTAAAAATTCAAGACTGCACAGAATATTTGACATTTAAAATTTTTATGAATTTTATCAAGTGAATCAGATTAATAATGTTATTAATATTGTTGTTGACAAGAAACTTACCTGTTTAAGTTTGAAAAGACAAATGTCAGGCAGGTTGTCCCATTTTCAACTATGTTAAATTGAGATATTTCCTAGAAGTAATCTTTAAAATAAATACATAGAAAGATAGAGACTATGGCTATGTTTACCTCCAGTTGTTTCTAGAATAAGTATATTCCTATCTATAAAATCAATAAGATATTTTGTTAAAACATACTAAATTCTTTTCTCAATATTAGCCCTAAATATCTAGAATAAGATCTTTCTCTTAAACCTATTAATTAACTATACCCATTACACAGTATTTTTGAGCAGCCACATTAAAAAAGTGATATTAATGTGGGCTACCAGCTGTGGCCATAGTCTTTTTTGTTGTTATTATAATAGACTTTATTTTTTAGGGTAATTTTAGATTGACAGCAAAATTGAGCCATTTTTTATACTGAGCAGACATCATGGGGGTATTTGTTAAAAGGAATCTGTTTCTACTGTCAATTTCAGTGTATATGCAAAATGTATTTTGCAATTACATTTGCTTTTTTTATAATTGTTCTTTTTTAAAGTGTTAGCATTTGTACTGAATATGTGTAATTTCATTACAAAAGAATTTACTAAGTAATTAAGTGAAGGGAAATAGCAGTGAGTTTTTCTGGTGCAATAATTGAGAAGCAGCAATTTTGGACCTTTTTCGTGTCCTGTGAATAGGAGCATGAATGTGTGTCTTATGGTTTGTTATTCTGTTTTTACTGCTCAGGGAATTGAGAACTTTTATTTATGTGTTTCATGTTTTGGCAGCTTCAAACAGGACAAGAATTTTTAGGTCTATTGAAAAAGCTGTGACAGGAGTGTTACGTATACACATGACAAAGACGTATGTAAATTATTGGAGCTTAAAGGAGACATTAGTTTTCTTGGAAAGTGTTGATATGCTTCTCTTTATTGTTATTTAAAGTAACTTCCATTCTACTTGACACATCAATTATTACTGAATCAGAACTACTTCTAAATTCCAAAGTATAATGTGTGTAATATGGTTAACATGTACCTGCTGGGGAAAAGCATAGGAACTCTACAACAGCAAATTTCTTACTTTAAAATAAAAATTCACCATGCCTCATTTTTCTCCACTGTTAAAACTGGCTAGTATTTCAACTATCACTTTTTACTCTTGGGAGGAAGGGTAGGGATTGTCTTATCTTGGCCTACTGTAAAAAGAATCTAAGGGGACAGCCCCATGGTGTAGTAGTTAAGTTCGGTGCACTCCACTTCTGCCACCCAGGTTCTCAGGTTTGGATCCCTGGCACGGACCTATAGTACTTGTCAGCCATGCTGTGGCAGCAACATACATATAAGATAGAGGAAGACTGGCACTGATATTACTCAGGGCGAATCTTCCTCAGCAGAAACAAAAAAAAGAATCCAAGACCACAAAGGTTGAACTTTAAATTTTAATAGAATTACTTGTTTCCTATTAGCATTATGAAAATTTTGGTATATCTTGCACTTTCAGAAAGTTCTCTTGACAGTTAATATAATTGAATTGCATATTGATATCATTTAAATGAAGAAAAAATCTTACGGTTTTTGTATTTTAGTACACTTCCATCATCTAGGGCCTAGATGATGCTAGTTAATTATGTGGCTTTCGTGTGCACTGGTAATATTTTAGGATTGTATTTGCTTTAGTTTTGGGGGAGGAAGTGTCTGATATCTTTTTTAAACTATAAACATTCACAAAGTAGAGAGAATGGTATAATGAATCCACATCTATCCACCTCCTGCTCTCACTAATTTAATCTAATGGCCAGTCTCACTTTATTTACACACTTCCCTCCTGACCCCCCAGTGATTTTGAAAGAAATCCCAGACATCATGTAACTTCATTGAGAAATACTTCAATGTGTATCTCTAAAAGAGAGTCAAATTATTTGTATTCCCTGTGAGTACTAGTTGGCTTTGTTGTGGAGAGGAAGTTTAAGAGTTTGGAAACAGGCCTGCTGTTGCCTTTTATTCAGTTACTTTGCATTTAGGAAGAACAAGAGTTTATATTCCTTGGGTATTTTATTATTACAGTGACACTCAAAGGATTTGAAATGTTGATTTTGTAAATAACATCTAAGAACACATTATGAATTGCCATCATGAATATGTGTGAAGTTACGTGGACAGTCCTCATTTCAGAGCTAACCTGTGATTTGATTTGCCATTTTTTCATGGCTCCTCCTTCCACAAAATTTATGTTTATTTAAATACTGAGAAACAGCATATAACACTTAGTTCTAGATGAAATTCTGTAAGTCTCCATGTGTGTCAAAGAAACAGAAAGCAGAGAGAAAAAATAATGCATATGAGGCTGAGAGAAAGAGAAAGGGCAGAGCAGGGTAAACACCACAGCGCAGGTGCCACATGTGGAGGTGTGAGCTCCCTCACTGTCACCCAACCTCCTCTCTGGGTCTTGACTTTTATTTCTCTCTCCTCAGTTCCCCCTTGGGTTTATATCATTTTCTTCTTTGGCATTTACTTAACTTGGCCTGTGGCATTTCTGGTCAGGAAGATTGCTGATTCCTCCCTTAGAGGTTTTATTATATGGGGGTCGTGAGATAAAATTTAAAAAAATGAAATATTTCAGGACTAATTTGTTGTGCCTTACTTACTTTTATCCAACTTTTAAAAAATGTTTGTTTAAACTAATTCAAATAGTTGGGTACCTACTATGGGCTAGATTGAACTTTTCTATACTCTGTGGATGAATTATACAATGTATGAAACATTTGTTTTATACAGACTTTTAGGTTTACTTAGATGCTCTTATTGAAAAATTATGTAATAATTTTTCCTTTTTCTGTGTGTTCCCTTTTGCTGCCCATTTATTGGATGAAACTGATTCTATTCAAATGTGACTGCAGTTCACAAGATTCCTTTGCAACTCACCTTTGGAGGTAAGAGTTTACTCACTGACCTTAACATTAGAATTGCTAAGTTAACATCACTATTGGTATCTTTTGTGAGGCATTTATTTGATAATTTAAGAGTGATCATTTTGTTGTGACATATATATTCTTCAATAATAGTAGTGAGTTGAATGCAGACCTTTTTTTGTTAAGAATTCTTGTAAGTTAGAGAGCTATACACGTTCATAACAGGTCATTGCCTCTTTTTAAGTACATTTCTTTTTTAATCGGTAGAGTGAAATCAGTCTTTCATTTTGAAGAGCCTTCTTGTATCTCCATTACTCTCATAACTGTTTAGCATCAGTCTTGTTCTCTATAAACTGCCCTGGTGTATGAAAAGAGCTAGAGAAGTCATAGGCAGAAGCTGTCATCAAGAAAGTTTCATTTGGTGCAAGAGATCGTTTTAAAATCGGTGGATTGATTAGGGAAAACCGAAGGACTTACCTTTACTGAGCTTCTTTGATAACAAAGGCACTACTGTAGGTACTTCGTTCACTTTCTCATTTCACCTTCATAGCGGTTCTGCAGTACAGAACTGGGAATCCAGGGATAAAACTGTGAGATAAAGAAAAAATGTTAGGTATTCAGAGAAGCAGATATCATTGTGAGCCGCTGTTGATGCGGAACCACTTGTAGAAGATGGGCAGGACTTTGAGAAAGGAGTAGGAAAGGGGAAGCCGCGGAGTGTGTGGAGACAATGGGACCTGGGTTCCAGATCACGTCTTCACTTGTTAGCCACTTAACGCTGGGCAAATCACCAATTTCCTTGAGCCTCAGTTTTCTTTTTTTTTTTTCTCTGCTTTTTCTCCCCAAATCCCCGCCCCCCCTGCAGTACATAGCTGAATATTTTAGTTGTGGGTCCTCCTTGTTGTGGCATGTGGGATGCTACCTCAACATGGCCTAATAAGTTGTGCGATGTCCGCGCCCAGGATCTGAACCCCGGGCCGCCGAAGCGGAGCGCGCAAACTTAACCACTCGGCCACGGGGCCGGCCCCCAGCCTCAGTTTTCTTATCTTTAAAATGCAAGTAATTCCTACCTCTCAAATGGGGCAGTGGACATGGGAACAGTAGATAAAGTGCTATTCAAATCTTAGTAATATTTTGTACTTAAGCTATACTTCAGCCGCACACAGTAAGACTGTTCCCGCCCTTTTGGTTGTCCTTCCTTTTGTCTCTGTTGTTTACTTCACTAATTTATATTCTCGTTCCTGTTCCCACCATGTTCAAATCATATCCCTCTTGAGGTTGAGCCTAGATACTATGTCCTCCGCGAGGCCCTCTCTGACCTGTCCACATGGAGGCAGTTGCTTCTTTTTCTGCTCCTACAACATTGTGTTCATGCTGTTAGGGAAACTATCATTGTTATGTAGTATAGCCCAGCCTGGCACAGCAAATACTCCTCATGGCCAGTTGGCCAGGTTAAATGATTGTCAGGGGAAACTGACCAGACCAGAGAGGCTAGTACCATGCAGGCTTGGTTACATTTTTTAACTATCCAGGATCAAGGCGGAAACAGAGCTATATAGTAGAAAGATTCTGGGCTTTGAAATGAGAGAGGCTTGGGTGGCCCATGAGCAAGTCTTTATAATAATCTAAAAATGGAGATAAGAATACTTACTTACAGGAGTATTACAATGAAATGAGTAATATGTGGCAAACACTGAACACAATGACTGTCACACAGAATTTTAAATAAAGTTTAGTGTAAAAACAATAAAAAACCAAGCCATAGAAACTTGAAGAAATATAAATTATATAACCAACTCTTTAGCTGATGAAGCAATTCTGGAGCATAGAAGAATGGGAAGTATCACAAGGAAAGGATGGGAAATTAGATTTGATTTTGTAAAAAATCCTGAATTTGTTCATGAAAACACGTATAGTTAGAAGGCAATTTTGGGAAAGTGTGATAAAAAGGTTATTATACTTAATATAATGATCTCCTAGAATCAATTTAAAAATGTACTATTTTCTTTTACATAATATTTGGTGGATTTTATCATAGTTGATGAGATGAAATACAAATGGTGTAATAAATGTTTTAAAAGTTTAACCTTCTAAGTAATCAAAGAAATGCAGTTTAAGACAGTAGTGATACACAGTTTTTTAGCTATCAAGATATCTTTTTTTTAAGTGAATGCTTGGGAAGATGTGATGAGATCAGATGTTTTTAAACTTCATCCTTTTCAGAAATCAGTTTGGTCATGTGTATTAAAGACCTTATATAAATTCATACCTTGTAGTTGAGTAATTCTAGTCTAAGGATCACTGCCAGAGAAATAATCAAAGATGGGAACAAAACTTGCATAAATATGTTTGTTACTGCACAAAGGGCACGATCTACTCGCCACGGGACAAAAGCCAATCGTAAAGAGACAATATAGTGGCAGAGAAAGGGCATTTTGTTACAGCTTGCTAGCAAGAGGGAGGATGGCCGACTAATGTCTAAAAGAACCATCTTCAGGGGGGCACAGAATCTTGAAGCAGTTATATAAGCCTGTGGGTTACAGGGGAGGGGGTTAGGAACGTTGACCCTCTGGTGTTACAGACTGGGAGTTGCCATACCAGGTCTTTCACTTGTCACTGATGATGGCTATCAGCATACACTCTGTTTGGGAGGGTCATCACATTCCTAAGGAACTCAGTGAAGTTATCATCTTATCGCAGCTGGGAGGTATATGCCCTAGCCGGGGCGGGTGGGGGGGTGTCATAAAATCTACAGAACAGGTGGATCTCCTGGAGGGTGCAAATCTAGCTGGGTTAGTTAGTCAGAGGTCATTCAAAGTTACGACATGGTATCTTTTCTACAATATGGCTTCCCTATGTCAACCTTGTGTTGAACCGGTTGCATGTTTATTATAGCATTCTTATTAACGGCAAAAAATTTATAAATAACCTAATGTCCAACAATAGGAAAAGGTCAAATAAGTCATGGTACACCAGCCATGATAGAACACCCTATGGCCGTTAAAATGGGGATCATGCGTATATGTTCATGAGTACATATTGATGAACGGTAGCAGTGTAAAATACTTTTGCTATATTAAGAGAGAAAAGCAGGATGCAAAATTAAACATGCAGATCTCAATTTGTAAAGAATTTGAGCTTACAGAAATTAGTTAGGAAGGAGATACACAAAATGTTAACATTAACGACAAATTGTTAAATTGTTTAACCCCTTACTCTTCCATGAAGGAGCCACAATGGGGAGAAGAGGTACCTTGGTAGTTTTTTGGTGATGGCTCTTGTAGTCAGTGTTTGAATAGGATGTACATCAGGGAAATCTCTGATTGATGTGGAAACAGAGTCTAGTCTTGAAAAAAAAAAAAAAAGACTGGCAGGAGCCTAGATGAAGAGATAATGTTGATAATATTTAAGGCTGGACTCTCCTTTCAGCAAGAGCTTAGAGGATTAAACAGGAGTAAGTGTGCTGAGCAGAAGGCAGTTAGATTGGCGTGGTTTACCTGCAAAGGGGTAAATATGGCGGCTGGAGTTTGATGTCCGCTTCACTGTAGCAATTATCAATTTGAAGATGCTACTAAACAATGGCAAAGATGCTTTTAAATAGACCTCACTGATAGACTTCTCTCAAACGTAAGCTCAGTGAGGGAAGATCCTGTTTTTACTGCTTCCTTGTGTTTCCATTCTTAGTATAGTAAGTAGTACGTAGGAGGCACCGAATAAATATTTTTTGAATGAATGAATGAACAAACAAATGAATCAGCTAGGTGAGACTGATGCTGAGAGTGGTAGGCTTTTATTCCTAATTTAGCAGGACTCAGCTAAAAGCACACAGGTCTAAAATTTATGTTTCCCTGTGGTTAACTGTCTATCTTCCCAGCTAGACTGTAGCTACTTAAGATCAGGAGCTTTGTCTTTTTCATTTTTGGATGCTCTCAGATGTAGCCAGGACTTGGAGTGTACCAACCATATACCTAGAGTTGTACCAAACAAATATGTATTTTTTAAATTACATCTTGCTACTCTGGTTGAATTGGGAATTGGTGTGTGGAAGGTTTAATCTTTGGGGAAGAACAGAAGGGAAAGTCTCATGATCAAAGTTTAGTGATAGTTTTGTCATTTTCTGTATGATATGCTTTCTCCACTTGATGATCTGGAGTTGTATTTTTCCTGGGCTAAGCTGATTTTTTTCTGCTGGGCTTGTTGACATGAAGAGGGAAAAATCACAATTAAAGATGACCAGTATGCTTTGCTTTTCTTGAAATATTTGGGAAATATTTTGAGGAACTTCTTTTGATATTTTTCTAGCCCAGAATTTCCTGGGGGTGGTCACCTGATGGTGTAGTTAGTGGCTGCTACTCCTAAATCTCCAGCAGCACTGAGCCCATTTCAATTCCTTTGCCACTGCACAGAGCCTGAGATCCGGAGCAAAGCCAAGGCAAGAGAATACTGGGAGTCTCGAAATGTTTGATGTTGCCATTAAACTTATGTTTTAGCTGGAGAAGGAAGATTACAAATATGGTAAATACCCAAACACCTTCCCTAATTTTGAATAAAAGAAACATAATTTGGTAGAGACAATAAAATACCCGAGACTAGCAGTTGGAAATGAAGGAGACTTTAAATTTCACTTTATCCACAAAACTACTGTGAGTGAACCATGTCCCTTTGTTGTAAGTCCTAAACAGTTAACTGCCACATGAATCTAACAAAATTGTCAGGTTATAGTAATTACATCAGTAATTTGATCTGCTGTCATTTGAATGGAGCCATGTGTGGAGAGTCAGTTACTTCCCTCTGTGGGGCTGACCCTTTTACATTCCTGTAAGCTGAAGACTAATAGAGCTCATTAAGCTTTATGGGAAAAGAGCTTTTATCACCTCGTCAAGTCAGGCAACATATTTTCACTATATTCCTTATTTCGTGTGGCTCTGTAGCTGCCGATGTGCACTCCCCTGCTAGGTTTACATCAGACCTCTCCCTTACAGACATTTTTATTGACATTTCTAAGTCTGAATTACATTTGG